GGGGGGGGGTGCGCGTATGTGCGCTACGCTGAAAAAGCATGTGAGCGGCAAGGAATGTTTGCTAGACAATAGGAGACGCTTCCCCATTTGTCTCCATCTGTCTGGCGTCTCTCCTGTCGTACAGATACAAAACCCCCATCTTCATTTGCTGGCTCTGACACCGGCAGCTCATCAGACGCGGCCAATCAGAGCCTAAAAGCTTATCAGCAATGTCAATGATAAACACAGAGGACACACTCTGGCACAGCACACAAACATGCCCCAAGGTAACCGACTGAGAACAAATATACGGCTAAAACCTAGGCCTAAAATGAACATTTATATGGCCGAAACCTAATTTGAACTGTTTCAACTAATTTCAACTTCAGCGTAAAGGAAAACTTGGACCCGCGCTCCAAAAATTAGTGTCAGTTTCAGGGTTTTTTTTGGCTTTTTTTCCCCACCCAATGCCAAGATAAACTAGTAGCCCTTGGTAAGATTAAACAAAACTTAAATCAATACATGTATGGAAAGAATCTGTGATTTTTCTTTCTTGTCAACATGTAAATCTGCTTTCTACATATTTCAGGTGAGAGAAGAGTAAAATCCGACTTTGACAGAGATAAAGAGAAACACAAGTAAACCTGAACTGTAAAATAATCACGAAATTATATTATATTACATTAACACATACACAACTAATACTGTATTCATTTAGGTGCAGCAGGAGGGGGACAGATGACTGCACTGCTATGTATGCTGATGGCTCACACAACCTTATGCACCATCTACTTTCTGCAGCACACGTGCACACACCCCATCTATCCTCCTGACTCTTGGTTAATGGACAAATTGCAGTGGAGTGATACTTTTGGGTGAGTTACAGAGCCAGAGGCATCAGTCTTTAGGAAAGTCTGAGAAGACTCCTCATACGTATGCTCTGCTGCTCCCTGCTGCCTGCTCAGGTAACTGCAGGCATTACAATCAAAACTCCCTGTTCGCCTTGACAATCTGTCGACAAGACAGCCCACATATAAAGGTGTGAAATTTAAAACAAACAAACAAACAAACGCTTTGGCCCGTCAACCTTTTGTTCCAGAAATTACTCCTGCACAGAGCTAAAAATGAGAACGCCTCCTCTCCTCAGCTTCTAAGCCCTGCAAAATTCACCACAACAAAACACACACTGGGGGGGCCATACTAACATTAACGGGCTGACTGCCAACAGATGTTGCTCTGTAGTCAAGGTGAAAAATGGAAATTAGTTATAGCATCTCGAATGAAATTCAGTTAGCGTTTCACTGTGTTATCTCAAGAAACCAGTTATTACAGCTCTTATATTAATCTATATTTTATCAGAAGTAAGATTGTTAAACATACAAATAATTACAAACACATTCTCTCAACATCCGTTTCATGTAGTTACATTTGTGCCGTTTATGATTTCTGATGAAACAGAGGACTCCAGAGACATAAAACACAACTTCTGTGTTAATGTCCAGCATCGGCGTAAAGGATGATTTTACTTTCGTCCTTTATCACAACCGTGAAAGAACCACCGAACTTTTTTCTGTTTCCCTCCATTATTATTTTCATCTCAGCTCAGTTCAGCAGACAAGGTCACCGCCGCGGGATCTGGATGGGTCCTGTTGGAAAAACCGAACGTCGCAACCTCAATTCTGGACTGTCAGCTCTCTCGACAAGCGGCGTTTCACTGCGGCGCTCACTTCGCGCTGTGGTGACCCTGACCAATCACACGCTGTGGTGAGAATTCTCTCATGTCTTGCCTCACATCATGGGGCAGATGCATGGAGGAAAACAACAGTTACACTATGGAGGATCTAATAAGTGACGTGAAAGTTGGCTCTTGTTTATCTTCTTTCGATGCTCTTCCTACTGTTTTCATGTGTGTGTCTACATGTGTGTGTGTCCCTGGGTTCGGCAAGTGTTAATAATCCAATTTCCCAAGTCGGTCACTTCCAGTTTGTTTTTGGGGCAGGGTTCGCCTCGAGTCTGTTACTCAGTACTGTGTTTGTCGATGGGCTCTCTCTGGGGTGGCTGTGATGATGCAAGTGGACCAGTTTTAGTTCAAGTGATGACAATTGACGGCTTTAGGAAGTTGCAATCTCTCCCCCTAGGTGGCGCCATCCCTTCTGCTGCGTCTCCAGAGGAGGCAGAAACTCTGCAACATAGATAAGACGATTCAGAATAGGAGGAAGTTTGAAGACGGTGTGAATTAATTACTGCACAGTCCCCGTGCAGCATCCTGAAGGCCTCTTATCTGAATGTCCTCAGCTTTCTCAGGCCTCAGCTGTCTGTTATCCTCCTGCCTTTGTGGTCTCTTGTCCATATTTCATTACATTTCACGTAAACTTTTACCATAATGCACAAAAATAAAAGCATGCATTAAATCTTATCCCTGCCCTTGACATTTTAACTTCTGTCATATTGGATTCCTTTGTTTTTTGCATAATTCATGCCGCCTGATGTGTGCCATCAATCAAAACATAACTCTGTACCAGATCTGAATGCAAATTTCTTTATGATTTGCCTCTGATCAAATTGGAGGCTCTAATCTTTCAGTGATGCTGTTTATCTCTTTGAATTGAGGGCAAAAAGGAGCACAAACAAACGCTTGCTGCTTACCGTTGTTGCTGCAGTTTTTGTTGTCTTTATCAGACGCTTCTTCCTCAACCTGAGAGCAAAGAAATCAATACACCAGAAATATAAGACTAATCATTTTAAAGCAAAGACTAAAGAAAGGCTCCTGGATTTAAATAGAATACAAGAACAGGCTATGTTTAGAAAACCGAAGCTGGCATAGAGTTGCATGCTTCCCAGAATGAAAGAGGAAAGGAGTGGTTCTTACCTGTTTCCTCCACTTCAGCTCACAAAAGATCCGCTCAAAGCACTCGTGCATGTAGTTGAACTGGGAGGAAAAAGTAGACGTTATTGTAATCCAGGCTTCTAATACACCACAATTAGGAGAGTCACTGTGTAAAAGTCATGTTTCTGTTTACTTTTCCTGCTTCTCATTACTAAAGATTTTATTACACGTGAAGGAAAGTGGGTTGATTAATAAATCGGGGGTTTTCCTATTTATTAAGCGTTTGTTCCCATCAAGGTGTGTCACTCTAAAAGCTGCTAACACAACAAAAAAACCAGAGAATGGCACACTTGAGTGTACACTTACATACGGAGTGAAGATCTTGACCCAGCGAGGTTTCTTTTCTCCTCTGGCATACTCAAAGCAGAAAGCCATCCCCTCCTCGTCCGTGTCCCAGCGCTGCATCTCCCCCCACTCAAAAGCTATTACCTGGTTCTGAGAGAGAAACAAGAGATGATAGAAGTTAAGCTCCATGCACAGAAATCTATACAGTGGTCCCTCGTTTATCGCGGGAGTTGCATTCTAAAAATAACCCGCAATAAGTGAAATCCGCGAAGTAGCCAACTTTGTTTTTTACAATAATTATAGATGCTTTAAGGCTGTAAAAAAACCCACTACACACTTTATACACTTTTCTCAGACAGGCATGAACATGTTCACATTTCTATCTCTTGTTTAAACACTCTCAAAGTTCAAACCTTGTAGAAAAATAAGTCCAGTATTATAGAATGAAACCAAAGGCACCTGAAGGTGACAACATTTCGTCCACAGTGTTGCGTTTGTTGGGGAGAAAACTTACAAACATACAGTACAGCACTTCAGAGTCACACTGCTAGCGATCGAAGATGTATGTAAATTTGACAAGCTGAACGCATTCTGTACTGTGCAGGAGATCCAGCACGAGATTGACTGACAATGCTCTACAGCCAATCAGGACGCAGAACACAATGCGCTGTAAAAAAAACAAACAAACAAAAAAAAAAACAAAGCATGCGAAATTGCACCAAAAAAATCTGCGAAACAGCGAGGCCGCAAAAGGTGAACCGCGTACTAGCGAGGGAGCACTGTATTGACGTTTAGCTTAAAAATATAAAACTTCATCTATTTAAATGCTCACCTCCAGCGTGCCGTCCTCAGTGCAAGCATGCAACTTGAAGTGATTGATGCTGATCGCTGTGATGACGTGGCCCTTCCTTCTGGAGTCACAAGAGCAGTGGGGGAAGACCACCTCGTTGTAGCCCTCGCATGTCCGCAATAGACTCAGGTACTACGGTATTATAGAGGAAAAGTAACAGTCAATTTTATTTTCCTCCACAGAACACACTAAGGAAAGAAGTTAACTTATGAGAAATCTCATTACTGATGTGACAATGCTGTTTTTTTTTTTATTGTTAACACATTTGAGCTGACGGTCTCAGAAGAGCTTGCAGTTTGAGCTGTGAAGACTGACTCACAATGTGGATGAACTATAACACTGCACTCACGTCCCCGTGTCTGTCATACAAACACGGCTGTAGATCCAAGTAAAGTATATGTAATTTTTCTGCTTTTTATTTCGTTTTAAGTTTAGAAAACCATGCTGAATACTTCCTAACATTTGGAGCTATTAGATTGCTTGTCGACACGTGAATGAACAAATAAATGAACCTTTTTCCTTCTAAGGCTGACATTCAAAGCCTCAGAAATGCTGCGTGAAAGCAGTAACATAGCTGCGAATGTCATCCAAATTTACACACATGCCACTTTCAGTTAATGTTCAACAAATATTCAAATACACCCAATTCCTTTATCTCTCTTTACACCACAGAGGGCAGAATTCTGAAGTGTGAAAGGCTTCTGAGACTGTCCATTTTTATTTGGTAGTGTTTTGGTGATAGCGCTGGTCAGCAGGCACAAAGTGTACTTATTCCAATCCCCTTCCTGAACAAAGACTGGTCTGTGGTACTGACCGTGGCCATCTTGCGCTGCTCTGCCAGTTTCTGCAGCTGGTAGGATTTGTCCTCTGTTTTTATGAATCCCTTCTTCACATCATCCAGTGCCTACACGAACAGGGAGAGGGGATGAGGAGACACAACATTTATCATTTAAGGTCATAAAATATAAACACATATATACATTAAGGCCATTCATCATGAAGGCATTCTCCCTTGTTTGAGAAAATTCAAACAATGACCGTAAAAATTACGTATGTGCATTTTTAGGCAGTCACAATGCATTTCTATATATTTTATTGAATGACTTTCAGCCTTCTAGCCCATAACTTTAATGCTTTGGTTCACTCTCGTCTCACAGCGTCATTTCTGGCTGCAGCAGGCAGCTGTGCACCAACTGTTCAGCCTCTCTCTCAGCTGTCTTCTGAGAGCGTGAGAATATTAGAGTTATATTTGCCAGGTACAAATAAATGAAAGTGTACTTCATAACTGTGTGTGTAAAAAACAGCTTTTCACTGATATAACAATCTTTACCAGCTTAGTGGGTGATATGTCACCATTGTGTTCCCAGCTTTGCCCCCTTGGACAAACCCCACAAAAGTCATGGAGTTATTGCAGGTTCGCACACACTGGTGTGATTCTTTTTCATCAGGCACGCTTTAATGGGTCACTGCTGAACTTTGCATGCTTATCATGCTTCAGCTAGTGACCTTTACTGGTCAGTGGACAGCCTGTAGGTGGGTACTGAAGCTAATTTTAGTGAATTTAAATGAGGAGTATTTTTCTCAAGTTCACCTCTTCTACTTGAAAAACTGTGGAGGTTTTTGTGGATGTATTTGCATGAAAACTGACCCGAGGTGGGGCTTTGACCAGCTGAGAAATTATTAACTTTGGGTGTCGACCCAGATCTGGATCCAGACATTTTAATAACATTGTAAGACAAGGCAAAAATGGACATTTCACATCGTATCTCCATAAACGCATATTTAGCTGAAAGAAGAAGAACCTGGGGATCATCTTGATGTCCTCGGGAAAAGGAAAAAAGACAGAGACTCTATTCACCCATCTTGTGAAGGGTATTTTTCAGCCTCGGAAGAAGTATGATATCTCCGAGCGCTCTTTTATTAGGGTGACATTATAGGTAAAGGTTTCTGTTATAGTCTGTGTCCAGAATTATAACAGAAAATACTCCTAAGCTAGAAATAATTCAGTCATCACAAAGTGAGAAAGCAGCTAGCAGGTGCCACAGTAGCTCACCTGGTTGAACAAGTGACCTTTATGCTAAAGGCTGCAGCAGGGATCCAGGCTCAAGTCTGGCCCTGAACATTCCCTGCATGTCAGGACCGATCCAGGGATCTTTTGCTCGTTAGGCCAATGTGTAAACCACTACACTACGGAGCCACTGAGACCAGTATGATCAGTTTAGTGTAAATCAACAGTGTAATTGACCAACTTTCCCTCAATATGTTTAAGCATTTTCAGCTCAGAAGAATAAACTCTGAATCAAATCACTGTGTTCAGCTCCCCGAAATCCACGGCAAGAGGAATTCAATTACTGTTATTACCTGGTGAAAGCAGTAGTGCAGTGCCAGCGGATTGTCTCTGAGCAACTCCTCCTCCTGGAAGCTGAACAACCATTTGCGGAGTGCTAAGCAGGTCCCCGGGACGGCCGACGTGTAGTTCTGCACATATAGCTTGTGGGGAAACTCGTTAGGCGCCAGCTTCCGCACTGCAACAAAAACCGAGTAGAAGGAGAAGGGTGATGAACGGGGTTTGTTACTTCAAAAAAAACAACAACATACTAGTAACCTATACCAAAATACCTGCCCTTGCTGTCCATGATTACTCATATACCCAGAGGCCCAGTGATTTAAATTCAGAGGGTTTTATTTATTTTTAGTGGTCATGTCATAAACCCCCGAAACAGGATGTGCAAATTAAACAGGAGAGAATGTGAAAAAAAGGTCAGACATCTTTTCGTGTGAAGTGCAACAAACACACGTGCAGCTCTTACCAAAGGAGTGGTTGATAACTTCAAACAGAGCAAAGTAGCTCGCCATAATACTGTCCATCCCAACCTTCATCACTAATGCCTACAGAAGATCAACACAACATCAGTTAGTTGTGGGAAAAAAAACACTGATGGAAAATATTGTACAACTGGGAGTGGTCTTACCTGATACACCTGGTCTGTGGTACTGTTCTTACGGACTCTGACGGAGATGGTGGTCTTGTCTGGTAGGGCTATCCGCAGTTCTACATCTGACACACCGTTGTAGTTCTGTACAGTGAAGCCAAACAGAATGAGAACAGCTGTAGAGCTGTGTTTACCCCAGTGGATTAATGAGGCTTTGTACGTGCTTGTTTGAATATGCAAGCCTTTGTTTGTTCTAAGTTACCACTAAGTACTTGTGGATTAAAAAACACAAACAAAAAACCAACAAGCCATAGCCAAACAAGACTTACAATCTGCAAGAAGTCTTAATCCCCCAAATTGCGCTTCTTTAAATGTGGGATTACATCAGTGCATTGGTATTTGTTTTGCTGCTGCACTTCCTTAAAACACCAGCAAGGTAACCAGTTTCCAGCCTGCGTCACTGGCCAACACAGCTCTCAACTAAGCTCCCTTTAACCAGTGAAAGCTAAATGATACTAAATGATTCTCAAAATGGGCCAGAACAGTTTAAATACAGCTTAAGAGACTTGGAGTCAGATCCAATGCTGAAACCCCCCTCCATTTTTGAGTTTGAATTCCTATAATTATGGAATACAAACAATAACATCTTCGGAAATTAAATCTCTAACTAAGATAGTACATATCTGATAATATAATATAATAAACAAAAAATGGACTGTTGAGCACTGTGCCAATTCAGAAAGTTACAAGTCCTAACAGTTTGGTAGGAAAAGAAAGTTCAACCCACAATATTTCAACACCCAGAATAAAAAGTCGCATTGCTACAACAATAATGCACGAGATGCATACCTCATCTGATTCCGAGAGAAACTCCTGCATGATGTCACTCTCCCCAATCACCCGCACAGAGCACACTAGAGACGAATAGGAAGGGAAAAGAAAAATGGCGAGCAATATATTAAATCAAGGTAAATAAAATAAACAAAGGGCAGCTAAATAACACTATGAATCCAGTGTTTAGATTTACTGTGTAATTTAGAAAACTAATAACAGTGGGTGCATGGTGTATTTTCCATCCTAACTACATATTCAATATTTAAATACATTTAATTCTTCTGGGACAGAAGAGCTAGTGATCTGTCCAAATCATCTTACCTCGCTCGAGATATTCCTCCAAGCCTCTACGTCGTGCATCCAGCTGCTGTTCCGATAGGGAGAAGGGCCATTTACCAGGAAGCTTTGGGAAGTTGAAGTTGGAGAATTCCCTTTTCAGGTTCTGGTGCAGGATGGCAAACTCACGATAGCGTTTTGAACACAGCTGCCTCCCTGACATATACACATTGTATACCTAGATGCATTAAAAAAAACAAAATATGAAGCAACTTTAGAGAAGACCGAGAGAAGGAAATGATTGCATCAGAGGGTTAAAAGTTTTCTTTCTACCACAGCATTAAAAAACATGTTTAGAGCAACCACAGGAAGCCGTTTCTTCTGTTTTGTTTTTTTCAAGAAAGAATTTAAGGTAACAGTGTTGCCTCTACAGCTGCCTCGGGAGGACGGACCACCTCCTGAGGTGAGATGGGTTGAAAGCTCTTTAAGTACTGTCTTTAGATCGAACGCTTAAGCTCAAACATGTTATTCCACTTAAAACTGAAGACGGACAGGTCCAAAAGTATTTTAAAAATCAGGCAAACACACACACTCGTGGCCGCCCTCTCCACCCTTCCAGAGAAGCCCAGTCCCAGGCGGAAACATGTCAACTGTCAAATCAGCACTTACCACAAACCTCTCGGAGTGCTGTTCTACGTGCTTGTATGTGGGAATAGAAATGGGCACGGCCTGCTTGTCACTGTAGTCGTAGTTGGGCTGGACTTCCTCTCCTCCTTCCAAACCGTCAGCCTCCTGAGGTGGAACAGACAGCACAGCCAGAACCAGCTCCTTCTCCCCAGCACGGATCAGGTCCACCACCTGCTTATGAGTTGCACCTTCCACGTTCACGCCATTACTAGAAAAAAGAGAGAAAGAGGGCAGGAGAAACATGAGGCAAAGGGGAGGAACAAGCAGCTCTGACTTGTTCTCACACATTCAGACTATATTTGAATTGGAAGTTCATTCAACTCTCTACAAAAAAGGGAATGACGGATACAATTCAAAGCATTTAAAAATACCTCTGGAGAGATATTAAACTCTCTCCAGATTCCAATTCTATACATTAAATCAATGCATCTTCCAAAAGAAAAAAAAAGGATCTGTCACTATTATAAGCAGTTAAATTTAAAGCTAGACTGGTACAAAACAAACTTTAAAAAAAGCTTTGACCGAAGGGATTTGGAATGTGAGAAACGACCACACTGATAGATAAACTGCACTTGGTGCGGGCTGGTTATGTCGCAGCTGATAACTGATGCACTTAATGCAGTCACTACTGCTACAGATCAATGCAGCTGGGATTACAGTAACACAGTATAATCTATACATCATTCGAATAAAACTGGTACTCTTTTAGCTGCTAATGTACACACTGTCCTAACATACTGTCTGGTAATATTAGCCCATTGTTCCCCATTTACTAACACAAGGCTGTGAGGCTTAAGCAATTAGGTTGGCTCCCATGTCCTTTTTCTCCTGGTGCCTTTTTGACTTCGCTGAGAGCAGATGGCACAAGCATCAGGTGTCTTTGCTAATCTTCCAATGAGAAACTGTGGGACAGACACTGAAAAGGAGGGGGCGAGGAAAAGTGTAGGCGTAGGCCTGCCCATTGATTGCCATGTTAGACGTAGCATTTATCTGTGTAGTGTCACTGACTTAAAATAGGAAGTTAAACATACAGAAAAAGAAGGGGTGGACATAATAGTTAACAGAAGAAGATTTGGAGTGGGGTGGGGAGTGGGGTGATGGGGGGGGAGTGGGGTGATGGGGGGAGCTAATCTGAGTTGTTTGAGTGAAAAGCCAAATTAAGGGTGGGACAGAACGAAAAGGGTGAAACCGTCGTCATGACTACAATGTAAATTTGGCTAAGGCAGAAATAAAACAGTATTAATACTTTTAATTGCTTAGTGAAACTGTTTGATGAAATATTACTCAGAGCTTAAAATAATACTAACAATAATAAAGAAATAATAATATAAAATAATTATATGCGAGCAGATATGCGTGTCTTGCAGGCTTTTACTGTTATTAATTATATTTTTTATCAGCCATTCCACTTGTTACTCTTTACTGTAAAATAAAGTCGCTGGTCAAAACTGATAAAAGCTCACTGATTAACAGTCAATTGATCCCCTAATTTGGCAGCTGGGAGGCACAGTGGTTTACACTCTGAGTACAGAGTCATGGGTTTAAACCCGTGGGGAGTTTTCATGTTCTGCCCATGATTCTGTGGGTTTTTCCCCAGCTGCTCTGGTTTCTCCCTCCTCAGAAAACCGTACCAGGTTAACGGTGCTTATGTGGGCCCAGGATGCTCTCGCAAAAGAGGTTGTCGATCACTAGTTTCACTTCCTGGTTATATAATGTTTTACAAGTTGAACTTTACTGAACACAGCATTATCTTCTAAAAACACACACAAGGGCGAAGCAAGGTCATTTTTATTTGTTTCCCCTTTTTCTTGTCTTTTAAGGAAATCATGAAAAAAAACAAACAACTATGCTCACTCAGGCAGTAGTGATACACTCAGACAAGAAACACCACCTGAGCTGCTTACTGTAAATAAAGTACATTGCTGGCTTTCTTTGTTTGCTAAGTAAAATGCTGACAACTAACATATTTAACCGGCTGAAGTCCAGTTATGAGGCTTTTTTTTTTTTGCTAAATGGTCAAACGGGTTAACAGGTCACATGATAAGTATTGCCGCTATCATATGACAGCAGAAAGAACTAATGAGTAAAAAAAAACAAAAAAAACAACGGAAAACAACATGCTGATGCCTCAGCAAATGGAAGTGAGAGCAGTGTTCCTTCTTTACCGTTTCTGTTCTTCCTTTTTCTAAGTCAGCTTTATTGCTCCACTGTCAAGTGACATCAACACTACTCACACTAACTAAACATTGATTTTAAACGTAAGCAAAAAAGTTTGTAAGAACTGCTCTATTACCATTAACACTTCAGGTTTTACTGAAGGCCAGGGCTTTACATTCCTGCTTGTAGATTTGTTCACTTGGCTGACATTATTACAGGTTCTGTGTATGGACACATTTCCTGTTACATTTAAATGCCAGCTATGACTCAAAGGGAAGCAGTGTTTCACCGAACGCTGATAAATGGAAAGAGACTTGAAAGCAGACTTGACGAATGCTGGCACGATAGATAACATAAAAGCACTTCTAAAACGATCTCTTCACGTATATCAAACCCACTCAAGGTTACATATAGCGATAGAACAAAAGCAAACCCTAAAAATCAATAGAAAGCACCTCAAACTTCCCATGTAAACAGCACGGCTGGTGCGAATGCTAGCTAGTGAAAGCAAATAAGACCACACACTCCTGTCATATGATGCTGAATTTGAGTGACAACACTGCCATCCTCTGTCATTTCACAGGCTAAGAACACATATCAACACTATTATGCATATGACAACGCAGTGGAAAGTGGACTGTCGTCTAAATGTCGTCCTACATCTCCCGCTGGAGCTGACACTGAGCAAGGAGCTAGCCAAACACATTAGCTACTTGGCTCGCTAGCGAGCTACAGCTAATCAACATGCACAGGCTGTTGTCCAACTTATGTAAGCTGGTTAGCTTTCTAGTTATCTCACCGGAGCTACAGCCTTAAATATTTACTCAGGTCAAAACGCTCCAAAGCTGAATAATTAATAAACTAGTGAGTTACTTTAATGGCAACAAGAAGCAAACCTCGAAGACGGAATAACACATGCTTGAAACTGGATCCACACAGGCTAAACTGGGTAGCTAGCTCCAATTGCTAACTCCGCGTCCTAACTGGAAGGGACAGAAGCTGACTTACACCTCCAGGATCCTGTCACCCTTCACTATCCCGGCTCGGTCCGCAGCACCTCCGGGTAAAACAGCGCTGACATGCTGAAGAGGGGCGTACAGCTCCCCGTTGATGCTCCGAAGCTGTCCTCCTTCGCTCACTTGACCGCGGACATTAAACCCGTAGCCGGACTCCGACTTGACGATCCTGACCATCCGCGGTCCCGATGTGACCATTGCTGCGCCGTGGCCCGCGGTGCCAGCCGACGAACCGACAACCGGACCGTTACGGGATGCCGAAGGGAGAACGGGCCGAGTTTCATCGCCTCCTACATCCGCCATCTTATTCACAGGCACTACCCCTCTCCAAATCGGCGTCTTCCAGCAAATTCAAAACAACACTCGGGCTCCGATCCTCTCTGTGAGGTTAGCTCCACAGACCGACTCTAGTGGTGATAACCCGCCCCCTGGCAGCGTCACGGGACACGGCCATGCAACGTGACCTGCCGGAGGCGTCACCGAAAGTGTGTTGTTTACTCTCGTTTCCATTCAACGCATCGAATGAAACAATGTCGTTGTTGATTAAAACGCATTCTTAATCCCTTTATTTTCTACTAAACCCTTTCTGTTTTATCTTAACAGACAAAGAGTGCCAGTGATTGCATTTAAATGATGCTGCAAACTTTGCAAACGGCAGGAGTTAAAGGATGAGAGGCACTGGACCCAACCACTATTTAGAAATATAAATGTATTTTTTTCCCACAATTTTAGTTATGATTCTACAGAGGAATCCAGAAATAAAGACATTATAATTATAAATACGTACAGCATTTTATCAGACATGTACACATATAGTGCTGTAAAAATATTTAGCTTTTTTCTGATTTCTTCTATTATTTTAATATTACAGATAACCTCGAGTAGACACAAAATGCAAGTTTTAAATAATTATTTCATTTATTACCAGAAAAAATAAACACACCTACCTTACCCTGCACTCACCCCCTAAACCTAATAACTGGTTTTGCCACCCTTGGTAGCAAGAACTGCTACCATTGGATTGGAGTCCAATCTGTCCACTCTTCTTTGCAGAAATGTTTTTATTCATCCACATTGGAGGGTTTGTGAGCTTGAACGACCCGTTTAAAGCCATGCCAAAGTATGGTCAGATGGTTTTAAGTTGAGACTTTGACCACTCCAAAATCTCAATTTTGTCCTTTTTGAGCCATTCAGAGCTGAACTTGTTGGTGTGTTTTATGCTTGTCCTGCTGCAAAACCCAGCTGCACTTCAGAGCATGATCTGATGGCTGGACATTCTCCCTCAGGATTTACTGGTAGTGAGCAGAATTCATTGCATCAATTACAGCAAATCGTCCAGGTCCTGAAGCAGCAAATCACCCCAGACTGCCATGCTACCACCACCATGTTTGACTGCTTTGACTGATATTCTTTTTATTAAATGCTGTTGTAGCTTTACACCAGATGTAATGAGTCCTAGTATCACTGTGGTTCACCAGAGTCCCAAAGCCTTAGAACTGTCTTTGTGATACTTTGCAGACTGATGGATGTTTATTACTTTTTTCCTCTGGTGTTCTTGCTACCGAGGGTGGTAAAACAAAGGCCGACGACTTTATCACATAGGACCAGGTTTGTTTAGTCTTTCCCCTTAATAAATAAAATCATCATTTAAAAACTGCATTTTGTATTTACTCGGGTTATCTTTGTCTAATATTAAAATTTGTTTGATGATCTGCAACATGCAAGAGTGACAAAAAGGCAAATAAATAAATAAATAAATAAAATAAATCAAGAAGGGAGCAAATACTTTTCACAACCTTGTCTTATTTTAATGTTCAACATTTCTTTCTCATTTATGCTGAACAGCTGATTGTTTTATGTTATCTTGTGTAAGCCTGCTAAACAAGATTGCACAACACATTTGCTGATTCCTTGTTTTAGAGTACTGAGGGAGAGATAAGCTGTCACTTCCTGTCTTATTTGATTGGAATGAAAACTTGCAGGTTGTAAACCACTAAACCACATGACTTGTCTTTATTGCCAACAATGCACTACGGTAGAATAATATGCAGTCATGTTAAAAAAGTTTTTGCAGACATATAAAACTTAAGTAAACTCTTACCGTTTCCATAGGAATTAAGAGGGCAAGTATTAGCTAGTTGCTGCTAATCAAATGCGGTTGATTAAATGATCATCAGCAAGTGTGAGCACCTCTATAAAAGCAGATATTTTGGCAGTTTCCTGGTCTGGAGCATTCAGGTGTGTGTTAAAAGAATGCCACATTCTTGCCAAAGTGCAATGCTCAGAGAAACTGCAACAGTCCATCAACTACATCTCAGACTCTGCCTAGTTAGCATGAACAAATGTTAAAGTTCATGACAGTACAAATAGAAAAAGAATGAACAAGTACAGCTTGTTTAGAAGTGTTGCCATGAGAAGGTCTCACAAATTCAAAGTGGAGATGTTAGGCCATGATACTCACATATGGCAAAAAACAAACAAATCATATCAGCACAAATACCTCGCACCAACTATCAAGCACAACGGTGGCAGAGTGAGGGTTTGGTGATGACTGAAAAAAAATAGGTGCTAGTGTAGGCCAGAATCTTTGTAAAACTCTGCTGGAAAACCATGTGGACCTGGGGCTTTGTTGTTTGGGAGATGCTGTGGGGCTTCTGGGAATTTTGGACATTGAAAGAGGTGAATCCAGATCCACAATCTGTCATGTAGTTTCGGTAGATTTATCTTCTGCAATGTCAGCGCTGGAAGGATTCATCTGTGTGGAGTATAAAGCTTCATAAAAGACTAAAAGATTTATTTATTTGTTGTGGATCATGAGTAATGTTCCCAGTGGAATCCTTCATAGAATAAATAGTTGTAGTTGTTTTTTCTTTATTTAGTTTTAACTGTTCTCTTGTTTTTGTTCTACTTCTAATAAAAGCGTTTAATCCCTGCTTTATCTTATATGAACAGTAAGATATTATTTTCCTCGCATTACTATCTTTCCTGTTTCACACAGAAGACATGGTGAAACTGCTGATAGTGATTGGGCTTGTTTTGCAGCCACAAGACTTGGCCACCTTGCAGTCATTAAGTTGACTAAGAACTCGTCTGTATACCAAAGTATTCTCGAGTCAATTGAGAAGCTAATTGTCCGACAGCTGAAGCTTGGCTGAAACTGGATCATGCAACAGGACAATAAATATAAGAACAGCAGCAAATCTCCAACAGAATAAATGAAAAAGAAAAGACTCAAAGTGTTACAATGACACAATCAAAGTCCAGACCTCAGCCAGATAAAAATATTGTAGTGGCACTTTGAGAAGGCTGTGCAAAAACAAATGCCCACAAACCTCAATGCACTGAATTCAATTTCAATTTTATTCAATTTTATTTATATAGCGCCAAATCACAAGTCAAGGCGCCTCAAGGCGACTTTTACAATGAAGCAACATTGTAAAGACGAGTAGGCCAAAATTCCTCCACAGCAATGCAAGAAACCGATAAAGTCATACAGAAAGTGATTACTTCAAGTTATTGCTGCTAAATGTGGTTTTACAAGTACTGAATCATGGGTTGTAGGTATTTTTTCACAGTACTGCATAGAAGCCTGTGAGAAATTATTTTTCACATGACTCAAATATCCATCGTATTAGTACTGCGAACGATTGCCTAGAATTCCAAAGATTCATTCATTGATTAATTTTCAAGAAAAAAATGTACAATTAAAGTAGCAAAAGTGGGAGATGGATAACTTTTTGAAAATACTATATGCAGCAGTGCAACACACACTCTAACTATGCAACAAAAGCTATGAAATAAACAGGAATGCTATATTATGTCCCAAGTATTAATTCATTTTCAGTCTTACAGGAGTTACTTAAATGTTACACAAGCAAAGTCATGTGCAGTCATGTGCTGTTGTCATGGTTTTCTAGGAAAATGGGAAATAGATGCAGTGATTTATGGAGACCTGGACAAAGATATATGGAAATACAGCACAAACAACAAAAACAGAGTTTCTTTGACATGTTAGAGTAGCCAATTCTTTAAGTAGTCTTCAGGATTAGCTCTCCAGGTTTCAATAATGACCTAAAAAACATTTTTTGTGTTGTTTTTTTTCTGTTGTCTGTCACAGTTTTGTTGCAATATACCTTCACCTTCTAATATTTGTGTAATTTAGTACATAGCAGTCTTTTCTCCTTGCTTTCCTATCTTAAGAATGACTTCTTTATAGCTTCCTTACACTGAGACAATTTCTAATGAGGCTTTGGAGCCACTGAAAGTCCAGGGACACCTTCAGAAAGTCTGAAGCACTATTGCTCAAGACAGCACCCTATTTTTACAGGATAACAAGCGAACAAGGCAGAGTAGCTAATTCAAACAATCAAAAAAAGTACAGCGGTTAAAATATGTTTTGAACACGTCACCACTTTTCTAAGTAAACATATTTCTAAAGGTGTTATTGATGTGAAGTTCTCACCAGATGTCAGTAACAACCGATCACATCCACACATGCAAAGAAATGAAACCACAGATATACATAAACTGTGTATAAAACTGAGAAATGACACAGGGAAAAAGTATTGAACACGCTTACTGAAATTTATTCAACACTTTGCACAAAAGTCTTTGTTGGTGATGACAGCTTCTAGATGCCTCCTGTATGGAGAAACTAGTCGCATGCTGTGCTTAGGTGTGATTTTGGCCCATTGTTCCACACAAACAGTCTTCATATCCCGAAGGTTTCATGAGCCCCTTCTGAACTCTGACCTTTAGTTCTTTCTATAGATTTTCAATTGAATTCAGGTCAGGTGATTGGCTGAGTCATTCTAGCAGCTTTATTTTCTTCCTCTGAAACAAACTGAGAGTTTCCTTGGCTGTGTAGTTGGGATCATTGTCTGCATTTCATCTTCATCAGATGGCAGCAGATCTTTATCAAAAATGTCTCGGTATATTTTTCCATCCTTCCTTTGATTATATGAAATGTGCCAGTACCGTACGATAAAAAACAGTCCCACATCACGGCGATTTTCACAGATTTTCTTCCAGTATTTCACAGGCTTATCTAAATGTTGTTCAGTAAACTTTAAACATGCTTTAAGAGTGTTCAGCTCCAGATTGTGCTGACTGCACCAGAGTACCAGCCGCTCAACTTCCTGCCGGTATGCAGACTCATCACCATCCTGAATGAGGCCAATTACAGTGGTGTCATCTGCAAACTTTAGGAGTTTGACTGCCGAGTTCTTGGAGGTGCAGTCGTTAGTGTAGAGGGAGAACAGTAGTGGTGAGAGGACACATCCTTGGGGGGCACCAATACTGAGGGACCGGGTTTCAGAGGTGATCTCCCCCAGCCTCACTTGTTGCTTTCTGTCTGTCAGGAAGCTAGTGATCCACTGACAGGTAGCTGGTGACACGCTGAGCTGGGAGAGTTTGGAGGAGATAAGTTCAGACACAATGGTGTTAAAAGCCGAACTAAAGTCCACAAACAGGACCCTGGCATAAGTTCCCGGGCGGTCAAGGTGTTGCAGGATGTAATGCAGCCCCATGTTCACTGCATCATCCACCTACCTGTTTGCCCGATAGGCAAACTGCAGAGGGTCCAGCTGGTGGCCTGTAATGTCTTTCAGATGGGCTAACACCAGTCGTTCGAAGGATTTCATGACCACAGACGTCAAGGCGACAGGTCTGTAGTCATTCAGTCCTGTGATGGTGGGTTTCGTGGAAACAGGGATGATGGTGGAGCGTTTGAAGCAGGAGGGAACTTCACACAACTCCAACGGTCAGTAGGATCCAGCAGACAATCAATGATCCTCCACAGTTGAATTGAGTTGCCTTACTTGGTTTCAGGTGGAGGGGACAGGTGGGGAGGAAGGCCCGGAAGCGGTCGAGATGTGGGGAGGCAGGCAAGTGAGTGGTGGGCCGGCAGGCCACGTCGTGTCAGCAGCAAGCGGCCCAGGTCCAGGAAGGCAGGAGTGAGGGAGACAAGACCTCCACTCCAGGTGCTATCTCTGAGAACAAGAAGAACAAGTAAGTCATCACAAAGATTCAGGACAGCGTTATGATGCTCCACTTGACTAACATGGGGATAGCAGATACTCAGGCGATGAATGGTTGAGAGCGCAGGTCTGATATACTGCTGGCATAATTGCTCACAGGTGGTCAGCCAGGGAGGAGCAACCGAACTCTGCCTAAAGGAGGAGGGGCCGCTGTTGGAGACCTGCAGGTACCCACCCAGACCATGACATGTCCTGCTTAACTTAAAATTATATAAATTATAAGCCGCTCACACTGCTCACGCGCAAACACGTAAATGTCCGAGACTTGCACCGCAGTGTCAGCGTTTGTTTCCCTGTTGGCCATGTTTGTTGTTGTGGTCATCTGTTGTCTTCCGGTATTTTCTCCGTAAGCGACCTTTCCTCGACCAATGAGATGAGCGGTAATCTGAATCGTCATACTCGAATTGTGTCTGTAAGTGTGCTGTCAGCTCACTGGTCACAAAGCAGGAGAGGAGCTGGGAATTATGTTTTCAAACAAAGCGTTAATTCCATAAACATTTATAGACTACTTTTGATTCTCACTGTATTACGGAACAAAGTGTGTCCCTTATTAGCTCAATACGGGACGTGTACTTTTGTTTCGAAATGCGGGACAATTCCATTTTTTAAGGGACAGTTGGCAACCCTACCCACAACCCCTGTTAAAGAGACTGGTGTTCCTGAGACTGCAGCCGCTCAGCTGCTCACAGTTCAGTCAGCCGCTCAGCTAACCTCAGCTCAGTCAGCCGCTCTGCTGCCCTCTGTTCAGTCTCCAGTGTCCCCTCTACCTATAGCTCAGTCTCCTGTGTTTGTTGCTAGCTCAGCCTTTAGCACGGCCTGCACCTCAGTTGCCTGTTCAGTTGCCTTTAGTTCAACTGTCAGTCCACTCATCAGTTCAGCCACAATCTTCTACTTCTTATCTCAAGCAGGGAACACACTTCATTAAAACATCTGCTGGTTCTCAAAAGCTGGCCCTGTCTCCGCTGGACGGTCAGGGGGACCCGTTCAGTTGCTTGCCTCCGTTGGAGGGTCTGGGGGCCTCGGTTATCCGCCAACCTCCGCTGGAGGGTCCGAGGTGCCCATCCAGCCGTCTTCTGTTCTAGCTGGGGGTTCAAGAGAACCCAGCCGACATCCTGTCTCGTTAGCTGGAGGGTCCGAAGAGCCTGTCCAGCATCCTGCCTTGTCAGCTGGGGGTTCAGGACAACCCAGCCAGCCTCATGTCTCATCAGCTGGAGGGCCCAAGGAGCCTGTACAGCCTCATGCCTTGTCAGCTGGAGGGCCCCAGGAGCCCGTCAAGTATCATGCCACAAAAGCTTGGGGTTCTGAGGAGCCCTCCCAGCATCACGCCTCATTAACTGGGGTCCTGGAGGACCCAGCCAGCACATCTTCGTGTCTGCTGACAGCTCTGGGCTGTTCAGCCACCATCTGCTCCAACACCAGCAACTTCCATGCTTATGGTCCTGCCTCGTCTGGTCCTGCGGTGCTACACCGCCATCCGATCCAGCTCGGCCTGTACCACCTCACCTTCGCCGGCCACTTACTATGTCGTGATTATTATCCTTGTGGAGAAGAAGTTAATTTATTTACACAAACTACACCAGGTGGTAATATATAGAATGTGCTGGAGAGGGAAAGGGGGGTCTAGAGCTCAGGGTCCGTGAGTGAAAGGAAGGGGATCAAACACGTTCCAAAAGGTCTCCAAATCCCTCTCCTCACTCCGTAACTGGGTCACACACATCCACGCACTCGTTCACAGGATCACAGGCAGGCAGGGAAAGATCTGCACAAAAAAACTTCAGTTACAGATTAACTGACAGACATAACTCACAGATTCAGACTCAAATTCGAATTCTTCAAACTACTGAGCAACTGACGCTGATAGCTCAATGATCCAGCGACAAGTAGTACAGTGCTGCCATCTTAATTAGGGCTCAGCAGATAGGCAGCAGGTGTGGAGATGGCAGGTGTGTGGGCCAGGGGCGGGAGCCCATATTGACCACTGCCCCAGCAGGAGAGAGAGAGAGAGGGGGAGGGAGAGAAAGAGCAAAACAACAAAAACAAATGTTGCCTAATACGGGATCAGCTGGTGAGGCACAGGGACCATGACATTCCAGGCCTCTACGTGGACGTCATCGCCACCGAGGGCAGCCCACTGTGCTTGAAAGTGGATGGTATCAGAGGCCACCATTCACGAACCGGCCACAGGAACATGCGGTCTTAAGCCACAGAATTGTTTAACATCTGTCTGAAAATGTAGAACATAAAATTATAATTTTGGCAACTTAGTAATATTGATTTACTGTCATTTAGTAAAAAGTTAAATAATTAGTTGTGATAATTATGATTTCTACAAGTTTAATCTTTATTTTTATCAAATTTACTAATATTAACGCCTTCTCTGCTAACACTTAATGTGATTCATTAACAACAATGGATGAACAAATCAGGCCCATTGGCTTGATTTGATGGAAAATAATACAATTTAATAACATCAAGGCTAACATCCAGTTTTTAGTTTAACATGCTTTTTCTTCAGCAATGAGCATGGATACAGGGCAACGTGGTTGAGTGCATTACTTATTGTTTTCTTTCAACTCTTCAGATAATTCTTTTCACTCCTCTGTGTCATGGTACTGGGTCGTGTGACCCAGTGTTTGAGTTTTATGTATTTTTTGTATTCATTTTCAAAGTTAATTTCTAGGTTGCTGTTCAGACCTTATTTCTTAGCTATTTCTGTCATCTCCCCCCCGTACTCAGTCTCCCTGGTTCCTGCGTCTACGTTTCATGTGTATGCGGTTAAGTTCATGTCATGTTTCATGTCTGTGGTTAAGTTCATCTCATGTTTTATCTCCATGTCTATGTCTCCGTGTTTCCTGTTTTATTTTGTAAGAGTCTGGTGTTCTTTGTTCATTGTAGTTAGTGTTACTCTCCCCTGTATTGTCATTATGTTTCATTCGAGTCAGCTGTGTTCTCATGTGTCTCCACTTCCCCTGATCACCTCATGTGTGTATTTAAGTCCTCAGTCTTCCTTTGTTTGTTGTCGTGTTGTCTGTGTACCGCCCCCTGGTCAAGTTAAGTGGTTTTCAGGATTTTATGCAGTTCATGTTTGCCATTTGGTTTATGTTGTTTTTCATGCAGTCGCACAATGAGGTTCCGTGCAGGTCATGTTTATGTCTGTTTCGGCACGCCATTTGGTTCAGTTACCATGCATCTGCACAGCATTCTGTTCACAGTGATCATAGTTATTCTTTTCAGTCAGGTTAGCGTTTCTCCAGTTTAGGTTTTTGGTTAGTTGCAGTCTCTGTCCCTATTATGTTTTGTCCACTCCCCTCTGCATCAGCCCGAATAAAGGCTCGCTCTCAGTTTAAGTTCACTCCCGTCTCCTCGACTGTGTTCGCGCCTGGGTCCACCAGACACACTCTCCACACGGTCTGCCCCCGCTGACCGTGACACTCTGCTGGAAATCTTGCGGAGAGTACCTGGTCGTGGCCGGTTTATGCTGCAATTGTGTTCTTTCCACTTTCGGATTATGGCCCCAACACTGAAACCTTCAGTAGTTTAGAAATTCTTCTTTAACCAATGAAATCAGTATGTTTTGCAACAATAAAGTTGCAAAGGGCCTGAGAGAATTCGCCAGTTTTGCCCATCATTAAATGTTTCTTGTGTTTCTTCATGCATTCAGTACTTTTTCCCTGTGTCATTTCCGAATATTACACATATCTTAATTCATTGTGTGGAAATGGGTTCCAAATTGAAACTCAGTGTTAAATTTAAGGATGTATGATATAAGGATGTTTTGCTTAAGAAGTTCACTTTTTAGTAGTGAGATCAGGCTTGTGTTCTTGCTTGTTTCAAAGTTTTCTTCAGTGTCTATTTGTGTCTGTCTACATGTTGGGTGAGTGCTGAGTATTTGGTTGTGTATATGGGGGTGGGAATGCACGTTTGTGTCCGCGTGCGCCTGTTCGTCTGTGTCTCTCTTTCTTTCATTCTTTCCCCCTGTCCTATCCCCCAGTCATGTCTGTCCCGTTTGTAGCAACCGAAAATAAATTCATAATTATAATAAAGGTCAATCAAATGGACCAATATGGCAAGGCCATGATGATCCACTTGGTAAAATAAATCTGCTTGGCATCTTTCTTGGCCTTAAGACAACAATTCTGATGGCTAAAGATCCAAACGGGACACAAAAAAAAAAAAAAAAAAAAAAAATTTCTTCAGTGCAACTTCAAAAAGCCTGCTCTGGTAGATATTTTCAGTTCTGCATCTCTGTCAGCGTTGGTGACATCCTTCCTGTCAGAACTTGCAGTGGTATTGCTCCTTTCCTGAAGTCACTTCAGGAAACTTAGACGATACTTCAGCTGCAAAGCATGAACTCTGCTGATAGAAACATTTTGTTTTTTGAGGGAAACATTCTTGTTATCACAAGCCTTCCAAAGATTCTGCAATTGCTCAATACTGAAACAAAAATTCTCCCAGTTAATGTAAGAATACACAAAATGCAAACTAATCTTTCAGAGAGAAAAAAAAGATTTATTTCATTTTGGATTTCAGTATAAGTTTGACTTCATTGTCATATATTTGTGTTTATATCTTCTTCAAAACAGCTGTCAAGGGACACTTCCTGTCACCGAACGGCAGCTCTCTCAGTTGGCCCCAAGGTGGCGCTCGGATCCTTATTTTTTGGAGAAGAAATCGTTGCAGATCATAGTGAGGCAGGCGACCAGCGTGACATACTCTTGAAAATCCACAGTGCCGTCCGCGTTTGCGTCCAGATCCTTGAAGATCTTGTCTATTGCTGCCTTGTCATTGGATTTCTGCAGTGGAGAAAAGTGTTAGCTTGAATTTAGACACTAAGTGATCATAAAACAAAGAACTGCTCAGCCTACTTCTGCTCAAATAGTTACGCAAACCACAGTGGAAAATCTGTGTATTTTCCACTCTCTCAAAGTAAAAGCTCTGCATCAGTATGCCAGTGTTTTCAGGCAACCTACTGGGTGTGAGATAGAGGGAGGATAGAGACCACTTACGCCAAATATGTCTCCAAGCTCAGTTTGAAGAAGTTCCTTCAGCTCTCCCTTGCTTAGGGTGAGTTTGTCTCCCTCCTTGCCAGAGTATTTATGAAAGGCGGCAATGAGCAGTGCCATACCCTGCTGGATTTGAGACATGATTGGGGCTAGTTTAGGGAGACAGAAGGAAAACAAAATGTTACGTCTGAGACTGCAGTGGTATTTGTTTATGCAGGAAATCCACACTGATTAGAATCAGAATCAGAAAGGGTTTTATTGCCAAATGTTGAGCGGGTTTACAACATTAGGAAATTGCTGCGATGCTTCAGTGCAAACATACTGCTATAAAGAATAACGTTTACACATAATTCTGCTATGACTCATTATCTGGTGCAGATTAGGCTGAATCACGTGGTATTGTGGTCAAATGTAGGATCTTAACAAAGGACATCATTGATATTTGGAACACGAGGAATTATTTAGAAGTAAACGAGGGGGGAAAAGGGGAATAGGCAGGGCCTGTTTGGTAAAACCAGAGTGAAAGAGAGTGAGTCGTTTAACCCTGTGAGGTCCATTTTAGGTTTGCCTAAAATAATGATGCAGTGAAGCTCCTTTCAGTTACTTTTGATCCACTTCTACAAATTACATTGCTAATATATTTAAATTCTGGAATTATATATGTATACATGCAGTAAAACATATGCATGTGCAAGTGCATACTGGAAGTCATAGCAGAAAACAGTGGCTGATATTACTGTTTGTCTTTGCCAAAGTTTCTCTAGGTTCTCAGTGGAGCTTGATAAAAATAAACTCAAGATTTCCACCTGGGCCCCACCACTCTTATTTCCCTTTTCAGCGGTCTCTGATGTAGCGTCTCTGCCAAGTGACACAGGACATTGTTATGGCAACAGCAGAAGGAGATAAGGGCGCGGGTTACAGCTTAATTAAAGTCCCCAAAGCAACATCAGATGTCTGTTCTTCTAACATAGTATATCTAAATTATGCGCTCTTTCCACTGGACTGTATAAACCCAAGAGATTTGCTAGTGGTTATGTTGTGAATCATACAATGTTTTTCCCTCTCTAGGGTGCGCTAAGCTGAAGAAACTTTGGCATCAGAGAGTTTGGAAACCGAAGGGAGTTACAAGGAAAGAGAGCACAAAACCTGTACCGCATCATTCCTCAATTAGGTTGCAGTTAAAGGTGAGAATCGCTCCTAACCCCCCAAAAAACTTTAATGCATCTGTAAAAATGAGTTTCCAAACAAGTTAGTTGGATTCAGACAAAATGAGCTCAGTCTTTTGCAGCATCAAGTTTCATAAGCAAGAAGAGAAGTTTAAACATTAAAGTCCACATGGATGTGACAAACTTTGCAGTTCATCAATACTTTTCTGCTAATGCTTAATGTGCATTCATACAAAACTAACTGTAATGAGCATTGCTTGATCAAAACGAACAAACAAACAAACAAACAAACAAACAAACCTGGAAAAGTTTCCAGAGCGAGCAAATAAAAGCAGATAACAAACAAAAAAAGCACTTGTAGGATTTTCTACTCACCAGTGCTGAGGTTTAAGACAATTGGAGGCTACTGTTGATCTTGGTAGAGCTGTTGTGATGAACCAATGGGTGGCAAAGCTGCTTTATACATCACCACACCCAGTATCCCTCCCCCCTCCCTCTAGAATGCTCCTTTCATCTCCAACCACTCCTCCTTCCTTCACTTTTTTAAAACATATTCTTTAACAAACCACACTCGTGTGCTGTTACAGTGAATGTTTGAATTTGAGGATTTGGAGAATTCTAAAAACTTGCTGCATGTTTTACAAAATGTTTCTGATGTTATGATCTCAGGACTGCTTTTGAATCTGGAATTGCTGCAGAACAAAAGACAATAAAATATGAAATGTAAAGTTTGGGGTGCTGTGTCTTTAAGAGGACTCTTTGCATGAGACTATTAAAGTAAATTAAATAAATAATGGTCATGTAACAGTCTTGCATGACCGCATGCATGACATGTAACGGTCATGCATCAGGGATTTGACGGCCGCTCTCGCCGAGCGTCACACTTCGCTCACCCAGGCTGGAGGGGGCACGGCAGAAACGAGGCGAGGCACTGGCTGCTCAAGTGGCGGAGAGACGTGGCTTGTTGGAGCACGCTGGGCTCATGGCGTTCACGCAGGAACTGTTGAAAGAAACAGATCCGCCCTGTTTTGTGCAGGCTTCTTGCCAGACTCATAACAGGTTTCCCTTTTGTTTACGCTGAGTAATCACTCTCTGATTTGATAGAATAGATCTTAGATTAGTGCTTTCTTTCTTTTTTTTTGAGGGGAAATCTTCAGAGACTTCTCTTCGTGCATTCTTCTCTGTGTTGTTTGGCTTCAGGGTAGAAGAAGCAGCCTTAGAATGTATAGGAATCATAACTTCCAATATAGGATTCATGTTTTATAATTGACTTGTTTTTCAGCTGATCATCTTGCCAAATAAAGAAACAGCATAAGCAGTGTTGTCAGTAAATCCAAAGAATAGCACAAAATGTGTGTATTGTCAAAGTTTCCAGTACCATATTTTTATTCTTGGAGTTGCTTTGCATGAGCCTTATTTATATAATAATAAGCCCCTTTGTTATTTTCTTTCTGTAACAAGCTGTTTTAGCTCCCTTGCACCTTTGGGCCTACATTCTTATGACTGGCTGCCTATTTTATTACATTTACTGGGACTATTTGTGCATACCCTTAACTCATTATTAGAAAGTTCAGTTTATTGTTGCATCTGTTATTATAAAAGTAAATATCCATCAGAGAAGAGGCAGCAGACATGAAGTCTTTTCTTACACTTTTCAACAAGACATGCTTTGCTGAGGGTTTATAAGTATTAATGGTATATGTTGTTAAATAAGTGGTAAACTGGGTGTGGTTATATTGCACTGCATTATATAGAAAGTGTGATTGCCATGCGAGGCACAGTTCAAGTTGCATAAAGGATAGTAATTGTGCATTACTGTAAGACTGCATGGATGGAACAGTTATGGTTTCTTTCCATGTGCAAAATATGGATTTCTGACCCACTTAGATTGTAACAACACAAGAAGAAAATACAGAGACCCCTTTACATTTACTTTACTTTTGTTTTTCAGAGCCCTCCACTGGCTCTTGGCTGCTTAGCAAAAGGCAAAGCAATAAATTACCCAGGCATACTCACACTTGTGTGCTACATTCCTGTTTTCTTCTACTCAGTAAAATGTGCCTCAGATTAAATTGTTCTCATCTGTTTTGCCTGTCTCGCTCAGGTGCTGACTTGTCCAGAACACGACCAGGAGAAGCTGCAGTTCTATTGTCGGTCATGTCAGCGGCTGCTCTGCCCCCTCTGCAAACTGCGCCGCATTCACACCGGACATAAAATCCTTCCAGTGGCCCAGGCGTACCAAGCGCTGAAGGTTTGACTCACAATCTGACATCTATCTCTGTCCCGCACAGTGAAAGGTTTACTAGAGGCAGGAATACACACAAAGCAAACATGTAGTAGTGAAGCCAGCGTATATGTGAATAGTGTGAAACCCTCCATTTCACACATTTCACAGTTTAAAATAATATATTATAG